TTGGGGAGCCCTCTAGTGGGTGTTTAACTGCCATTGCCTTTCCTCTTTAAGGCAGAGTTGATTTGGTTAGTACTTAGTTCTGGACTTACTGTGGGTCCCTTGGGGAGAAAAATCACTTAATTTGTTTTGGCCTCAATTCCTTCCATGAAATATTTGTGGTGTAGATTGTTTTCTTTGTGCCCATAGAATGAAATTCCTACAGTGATGAGCAGGATTTGTGGAATGGCTAAGTGCAGATCTCAGCACATCTTCCCCCCAAAAGCAAAGATGAAGCTTGAAGGAATTGCTTAGGACAGCCATTTAAAGAGTGTGGACATTTGATCAAAGGTATACAACAAACTGAGAAGTATTAATTCAAGGTCTACTGAATCTCAGATTCTTAGAAAAAAACAGTGGACATCTGTAGTGATTCAGAGTGCTCTCTCTGGGTGGGTGGGTCACGGCCGGAGGACTAGAAGTGGCAGCAAAGGCACCTGGCTTTATTTGGAGCACTGTGTGGAAAATTCCATGCTCTATGACATGTTACAACATTGGTTATCTTGGTGGCACAAATTTGAAGGCCAAATTTGCAATATTGATCAGGACAAACAATAGATCAACAGACCAGTCAGAAATTCAACATGGAAATCTAGGTAATGATTCAGCTCTTTTTTTTTCCCTTTGAGCACTGGGGTTTGAATTCAGGGCCTCACACTTGCTAGGCAGATGCTGTTACAATTAGAGCCACTTCACCAGCCTGAAATCCAGGTAATAAGAAGTCTTGAAAAGACCACATATATCTTGTGGTCTGGAAAGTGTGAGCAAGGCTGGTGTACACATTCAGGGTGGAATGAGGGAGCCCTGCTGACTGTGTCACTACTGGATGAACACCAGGCCTTATAAAGGCATGAGACAAAACCTGAGACAGACTTGTAAACATCTCCAATTTTGAATGAATTGTCCAAGCCACATGGAGATCCACAAGCAAAGGATAAAGCCCTATTAGCTTAAGGTGCCATTCAATCCCCAGTCACTGACATACCATTAAGTTATACAGATCCAGGGAGCCATTCTCAATAATGAACAGAATAAATGGACAGAAAATCAGTGAGAATTTAGGAGATTTGAACAACAGTATTAACCAACTTGTCCATGTTGACATTTATAGAAAATTCCATTTGACAACAGCAGAATACATATTCCTCTTAAGTATACATGAATGTTCTTCAGGAGAGACCATATTCTAGGCCATTAGCAAATCTCCATAAGTTTAAAGGGCTTGAAATAATCCAAAATAAGTTTTTTTTGGTGGTACTGGTGTTTGAATTTAGGGCCTGATGCTTGCTAGGCAAGTGCTTTTTTGCTTGAGCTGTGCCCCCAGCTTTTTTTGCTTTAATTATTTTTCAAATGGGGTCATTTTGCCTGGGCCAGCCTGGACTGTGATCTTTCTATTTATGCTTCCTATGTGTCTAGGATGACAGGCACACACTAGCATGATCCATTTATTAGTTGATATGGAGTCTTGCCAACTTTTTGCCTGGGCTGGCCCCAAACGACAATTGTCCTGATCCTTACTTCCCAAATAGCTGAGATTACAAGCATGAGCCACCATGCCTGACCCAAAAATATTTTCTGTGATCACATAAATTTAATCAGAAATCCATAACAGAGTAATAGTTTGAGAAACCCACAAGTATTTGGAAACTAAGTAACATAGTTCTAAATAACTCATGGGTCCAAAAAGAAATAGGGAAGGTACAAAATATTTTGAGCTGAATGAAAATGAAAATATATCAGATTTTATGAGATGCAGCTAAAGTAGTTCTTAAAGGGAAATTTATAGCTGTAAATGCCCACATTAAAAAGGACACTTCAAATCAATAAGCTAAATGCCTGCCTTAACTGGGAAAGAACAGAAAGCTAAGTCTAAAGCAAGCAGAAGGAAGGAAATAATTATTGGAGTGGAAATCAGTGAAATGGAAAGCAATAGAGAAAAATAAAGGCAAAAGCTGGTTCTTTGAAAAGATAAAATTGACAAACTTTTATCTATACTGACCAAGCAAAAAAGAGAATCACATTGCTAAAATCAGGAATGAAAAAGGGACTCATTACCAATCTCACAGACATTAAAAGGAATACTCTGGGGCTGGTGGTGTAGCTCAGTGGCAGAGTGCTTGCCTAGTGTGCACGAGGCCCTGGGTTTGATCCCCAGCATGGGAAAAACCAACCAGCTAACCAGCTAGCTTCATTTGAGAATTCAACCACACACTTAAAGCAGAAGTTATCAATCCTTCACAAGTTTTTTCTGAAAATAGGTGAAGTTGCTTCCCAACTCATTCTGTGAGGACAAAGTTAGACAAAGATACATCAAGAAAACTACAAAAATATCTTTTATGAATAGAGATGCAAAAATCCTTAGAAAAATACTAGTAAACTGAATCCAGTAGCACAGTGACCTTGTGACACAGACTTATAAAGTCTATTAGAATTAGTAAATATGTTCAGTAAGCTTGCAGATTATAAGATTAATGCATAAAATAATGATATTTCTATAAGCTATAAACCATTTGATAATGAAATAAATAATTCCACTCAAAATAGCATAAGAATATTCAGGAATAAGTTTAACACAATAAGTAAGGCTACAAAGTGTTGGTAAGTGAGACCAGAAAAAAAAACTTAAATAAAAAAGCATTGTTTCTTATTTGTGAGTTGGAAAGATCTGTAATGTTAATGTGTCAGTCTTTATCAAATCAATTTATAAATTAAATGCAATCCCTCTTGGAATGCTGACAGACCTTTTAGGGGATATAAATTGACAAAGTGATCCTAAAATTTACACGGAAAGGCAAAGGATTCAGAATAGCCAAACTGTTATTGAAAAAGAACAAAGTTGGTTAATCAAAATGCATCCATATAATGCAGTACTGATACCTGCTATGTGGATAAAACGAAAGCATTAAGTAGCAGCCAGACATTTATGAGATGTCCATTTCTATGAAGTGTCCAGAAAATGCAAATCTAGAAAGGCAGAAAGTAGCTTAGTCGTTGTTTGGGGCTGAGAATAGGGATGGTAGGGGAAAAGGGAAGTGATTGCTTATGGGTTGAAGGTTGACTTTGCATTAGGAATCTCTTTGAGGTAATGGATATGTTTTAAAATCAGATTGTGGTGATGGTTATACAAATTCAGTAAATTATTAAAAGTCATTGAATTGTACACTTAAAATGCATACATTTCATGGCATGTAAGTTAGACCTCAGGAAAGCTTTGAAAGAAATAAGTTAAGAAAAAAACAAACCTTTTACTTTTGTGAACTCTTGCTCTGGCAAGTTTCTGTCCTCACAAGGAAAAGAGGACTAGGCACCAGGAGGAGAGCTGCAGCCTTGAGGAAATTTAGTGGGAAGCTTGTTGCCAGTGTGGGATGAGGGATAGAAGAGTTGGGAAGTGGATGGGTGTGTGGGTAGTTCTCCCTCTCTGAGGCTCTGACCTCCTAGCCTGCCTTTCCAGGGAGGTATCACCAAGCAGAGCCTCTTCTCATCACCAGTCTCAGACAAACTTAGGGATAGTTTGGGAGGCATTAGGGGTCAGGAATCAGAATTTAGGTGGAAATTTTATATTCTCAAATGCAGTACTGGAGTAGGAAGGATAAAAGAATTTTGATTACTGCAAGAAGTAAATTCTCAGGGGAGCCAAAGGGCTTTGACACGTGTGTGTGTGCAGTATGGCCTCATTTGTCCAGTTTGTCTAAACTCACTTTCATGTTCATATATATATGCATGAGCACACACTCGCTCATTTTCATCAACATACCCACCTAACTGCCCACATATCTTCATGTGCACATTCCCATGTACACAGGGAATCTTAATCTCTCTGACTCCCCTGGAATGAAGGCTGTATGCCATCAAAGACTGGCCATTTTCTTCTTTGCTAAAGCCCTAGGGCCCAGAATAGCATTTTCTTGCACACATTAAGTGCTCAATATATAGTTTTAATAATGTGAGTGCTTATTGTATTCACAATTCCATACTTACTGCTGCATGTATATTCTGTTCTTTACTTCTGTCCCTGAAACACACACACACACACACACACACACACACACACACACACACACACATATATCCTGCTAAATAAATGCTCTCCTCCAGGCTTCTTTGAGTGACAGTTTATCAGCAGTCTGGGTCCAATCAGGAGATAGATATTACACAATAGGTTAAAGAGGAGGAGCTTAAAGAATTAGACTATGATAAAAGACTGTTTATAAGGTGTGAGGAAATGCTATAGGGTATCTCAGAGCTGGGGAGAGTGCTTAAGGAAGGACACACTTGGAAGAGGTTCAGACTTCACTGGAAAGATGTGGTTCAATCTTCCTAATAACAGAGAGCTTCACTGATTTTGCCAGGATAGAGCTGGTCTACAGTCACTGTGCAAGCAGGGGTGGAATGGCCCAGGCACTGGTGGTGTGGGAGTGCAGAGGAGGGGAGACCTATAGGCTGTAGGTGGGCCATCTAGGGAACTTGCAGAGGGAATCATGGTACCCACAGGGGTGGGAGGCTTTTTGGCACTGGTTTCCCTGTCAGAAAGGTTATTGTCAGGTTGAGGCTGCAAGGTAGATAGACTGAGGTTCTGGGTGGAGGCAGAGCTCTCCTACGTATCCTTGTACCACACCACTGACCAGCATCCTGCCTCTCCAGCACTTTCTATCCTGAAAGCTTAGCATGTTCACTTCATGGAGAAATGCTTGAAGGAATTTAGGCACTTATCACAGGACATATATGGGCACATTCAGAGCTGGGAGGCAATCTATCACAGGCAGAGATGGCCCTGATGGCTTGACAATATAAGTTGGTAGCAGGAGAGAGGCATCCTGTGACCTTCTGTTTGCAAAGAGCTTTTTCCAGTTTGGAATTCTGTCAAGTGATGAACAGTCTATGGGCTGAACCGTAACTGATTCCCAGACAAAGTCCCTGGAGTTCCCTGGGCCTATTCACTTTATCTTTTTTTTTTTCCATGATAGGTCAAAATAAGACCGAGACCTGGAGACCTGATTGAGATTTTTCGAATTGGCTATGAACACTGGGCCATCTATGTGGAAGATGATTGTGTGGTCCACCTGGCTCCGCCAAGTAAGAGTGGAGATACTATGGAAATACTGATACGGAAGTTAGCAAAGTAAACAGAAATACAGTCAATTACTGTGTTCCTCTGCTGTTGCCCTTCTTTGGCAGTAAAGCACCTTGAAGCATTCCTGGACCTTTATGTAGAGCTTGATCTCTGTTCATTAGAAACCACTGAGTGTCCAGCCATAGAGTGACACAGTGTGGAGTGTCCCCCAAATTACCTACCCATCTAGTGAACCCTTAAAAAATACAAATCTAAGAACTCTGAGCCTCTGTTTTGTACTGACAGCAATTTAGCATCCTTCCCCATATTTCTGAGGATACTGTGGGTGGGGGGGCTGGGCAGATGATCACATGACATTTGTTTCCTGCCATCCTCAAATGCTGCTTCTGGCACCTTGCTGCCAATGGTGGAAGTCTTTGTGTTCTTGCTGATCCAGCATCCTCCAGACTGCTTCACCCTAAATGTAGATACAATCCTCATTTCATTTCTCAAGGCAGCATTAACACAAGGCAGAGATTGAATGTGTGGTTAATTCATGTTTAGCGTTGACTTGATGGGGAGTAGGTGATAGTGATAGAGGAAGATTTCAATAGAACATGAAACAACTTAAAAACAAATATCCAGAACCTCGTCTCATGGTAGCTGCCAGAGGAGATAGGTCCTGGTGGGGAGAACTTGAGAGATGGGGGAGGGGCATCTCCATTACATACTCTGATTCCTTTTGAATTTTGTGTCCTATGCAAGTCTTGCCCTTTCAAAATGGAATTACAGAAGTGCAGTGCCAAAGGCCTTTGACCACAACTGGTTTGCAGCTGTCATTCCTGTGTGCTGTTCTCTTCCTTCAGCCCAGTCTTTCACCTTACTGGGACCCTCTCACAGGACAGGGTCTTTTCTTATGGCCTTTCTTCTGAGCCCCATTCAATTCCTGTCCCTACTTCCTGTCAAGGAATTTAATGAACCAATGTAAAAGTTCATCTCCACTTTTCCTTTCCAGAGGAACTTCCCTCTGGTATAGTCAAAGAGATCACTAACAGTTATTCCTGCAAATCAGATCTTTCTCTAAAAATGAATTCTGCCATCTCTGCTCCTGCATGCTGAATTCCCTTTTGTGAAATTAACAGATTTTCTTTAAATACATAAGAAAAGGACAGGAACATTTCTTGCTTTCAGACAACTTTCAAAGGAGGAGACATACATATTTACATATTCATATGGTTGTAGCAAAAAAATCTTTTAAACTTTAAAAAAAATTTTAATTGATACAAGAATGGTAGATATTTATGGGGGTACAATGTAATGTTCTGATTCCTGTATACAACAACATTGGCAATTATGCGTCCATGTATCCATCACCCTCAAACATTTCTCACTGCTTTTTAGTAAGAACACTCAAAATCACCTCTTCTAGTTTTTTTTTTTTTTTTTGAGGTACTGGGGTTTGAACTCAGAGCCTTGTGTTTGCTAGACCAGCACTCTATTGCTTGAGCCACTCCACCAGTCCTCTTCCATCTGGTTTTAAATGGCCATCCACCTGGCCTTCGGTAGGTTTCTGGCCCTCTTCAAAGGATTGAAAATGATAGTATAACAGCTCTCAAATGTGTCTTTTTTCAAAGCTGTGGACCTTTATTTTAAAACAAACCCTTAATGAATCCCCATAATTGAATAGTGCTAAAGGCCAAGGGGTTCTGGGTGGACACTGGTGGGAGTGAGTGACATTCAGAGCCCTGTGTGCTTGGCTTCACTTGTGCCCCTGAAGTGGCCACAGAATGAGATGGATCATGGAATCACCATGATGGTGAACACGACACCCTCTTATCCAGGAGATGACACACAAAGGATAGAAATTAATGAAGTCTGGTTAGGAAACAAGACTCAAGTTCTATGACTTGGTCAGGTCAGTAAAACCCAGTCCAGAGCCACACTGTAAGACACTTCTAGAACTGATAAGAGATTCTTGTAGGGGTGGAGTGTGGAGCATATAATGCAGGGCAGAAAGTTTCTTGGGAAAGTTGGTCCTTTGTGCTTCCTTTAGCCCAATTCCTGGCCTCTGTCAGCCCTTTACAAAGATGAGAAAACCAAAGTCCCCAAAGGAAGTGGTTTACAAAAGGTCTGAGGCTGAGCCAGCACTCTGGTTCTGCTACTCCTCAAAGCTTTCCAGTTTTTGTTTGCTTTCGTTCTCTAGGTGACGAATTTGAGGTCGGCAGTATCACTTCTATCTTCAGCAACCATGCGGTGGTAAAATATAGTCGCCTGGAGGATGTGCTTCATGGCTGCTCCTGGAAGGTCAACAACAAGCTGGATGGGACATACCTGCCCCTGCCGGTGGACAAGATCATCCAGCGCACGAAAAATATGGTCAACAAGATAGTGCAGTACAGCCTGATTGATGGAAACTGTGAGCACTTTGTCAACAACCTCCGATATGGCGTGGCCAGGAGCCAGCAGGTGTGGCTTCTCTTTTCCTCGTAGTGATTTTAGGCTTTGTCAACACATCAGTAATAAGAATGGACATTGCTGGTTTCATAATTTTATTCGTTGTGCTGGTATAGTGTTCCATTTCTAAAGGACTGTGTGGTTCAGGAGGCATTTTTCTCTTGCTTTCTCCTGTTGAGGAGTAGAAGCATCATGGGCTAGTATGAAGACCGTTGGATGGAGTCCCAAATCAGCCATTAATTCGGGCAGTCTTCTCCGTCAAGTTGCTCTATTTCTGAGACTTTCTTTTCTTTTAGAAAGTGGGGATCTATTAAGGTAGATAGTTTTTTTTTTTTGGTAGATAGTTTCTTGTTAAAGTTGCAAACTAGCAGCTTGTGGGCCACATTTTTGGATATATATTATTATTATTTTAAAATTTGAGTTACTTGCCAGCATTTAAAAATATAGAAACTTCACATAAAAGATCTGGATTTGCAGCTTTTCTTCAACCAACTGATCAGTCAGTTGGGCCAGCATTTCTGTATATTGACCATCTCTGCAGGGCCAAGTTGTGGATCTGTGTGGTATGTGTGGGTCAATGTGCCACCTGCCAACTCTGTTCACATTACCTGCCTGGCCCATGTTGCATTTGCTTCTGTGACCCCTCCCCCAATATAAGGCAGTGATAAATTCAATGTGGCATATAGGGTACCATGTGGAAGAGCCTTGAAAGCCTAAACACCAGTAATGATTTGACCTACTCTTATTAATACTTGATCCTTACTAAGACCCCATGAGATGAGCAGAGAGAGTGTATATTATATTATCTCTTTTTAAGTAGATGAAACAAATTAAGGACTGAAGGTGGGACCTATTTTTTCTGTGTGTTTCCCCCACTATGTTTCTCATGTTCTCTGAACAGAGTTGGTCTCCCTGCAGCTATTATTCACTGTGCTGGCAGTCCAGTCCCCTCCTCCATCTCCCCCTTGGCTTTCTGCATCCTCATCCTTTGTACTTTGCATCCTCCACTTGCCTATTCTTGTGGGGCTTTGCACCAGTGCTGGGAACTTGATGGGCTCTGGTATGAGGGATCTCCCAATCCATGAGCTTTTATACATGAAAAGAAGATGCTAAGGGTAGAGGGCATGATAGATGGCCCTCTGAGGACTCTTGGGTCCAGGAGTCATGAGGATCAAGCCCAGAGCTAAGCTTGGATACTAATTCACTGTGTAATTCTACTCAAGTGAGTTCCCCTCTGTGGCTCTGATTCCCTGTTTGTTGAATGAGGGCCTCAGTGGCTATAGCTGCTCCTTTGTACAGAAACCTCTGCCTCTGAGCACCACTGTGGCAGCACACTTACCCTTTGATGAGTGGCTCTGAGGAAGAAAAGAAACAAAAATCCTGGATGCTTTTCAGGAGAAAGGAAGCCTGTTTGCCTGGGGTGTCTGTCTCCAGAAATCCTGGCTTCTCTTGGTCTCTGGAAGCTCTAGGATTGTTGGAAATATACCACAGCATAGGCTGGATCATCTTCTAGGACAAAAGTCTGGGCAGGCTGGGTCCTGAAGGGAATGGTGGGGTAGCAATAGGGGAAGGTGCAAGCCTAGGATTGGTACTGACTGTCCTGTGAACTGATGTGCTTTCAGGTGGAGCACATCCTGATGGAAGGTGCAAAGGCTGCAGGTGCAGTTATTTCAGCTGTCATGGAGACCATAAGGCCCAAACCTCTAACTTCCTGAAGGTGCTGGCAACATCAAGTAGAGGAAGAGCTGCCGACACCAGCAAAGAGAGCATACCTCCTTTCTTCCCCTTGTTTTCCTCTCAATTGCTCTGTTTAAGAAAATTGTGAACTTCTGAAAGAATCTAGAATGTACTAATTACTCCTCCAGAAATACATCCAATATATGTGATCACAGACCCATGGACTCTTAGAATGGAAGAATTAATATCTATTGCGTACCTACTATGCACCAGGCATTATACTGGGCATTTCATATACTCACTCAATTTTACTTTCTTTTCAGGAAGGACCCTTGCTTATTTCTTAGGTCAACTCTAGTCTGTGATGCTGGAAAACCATCAGAAACATCCTGGGAACTTCTGTTTGAACATTTCCAATAACAAAGAACTCTTCCCAGAAGTTTTTTTTTATTGGACTAGAATGTCTCTAGCTTCTTTCTATTTATCTTAATCCTGCCCCTTTTGGTCCATAGTGTAGCTGGGGGAGGGAGAAAAAGAAGGGAAGAAAAACTGTGGTTCACTATTTAGGGGCAACTGTATCTTAATCTGGATACATATTCTCCAAAGAATATTTCCTTTTTAAAATTGTATATCAACTTTGTCATTGTTTTAAAGCCCTCGATTTAAAGTATAATTGATAAGACCCCTTTTCTTGCTTTTCTACCTTAGAATTACCAGAAAAATTCAAGTCTTGGCCTTTGATCCACCTCCCAAGTAGCTAGGTTTAAGGTTTTGTGCTTTTGCTTGAGTTGGTCTTGGCCTTTGATCCACCTCCCAAGTAGCTGGGATTACCTGGCTTGTTTTTGAGGTAGAGTCTTGCTAACTTTTTGCCCAAGATGGTTCAAACTACAATCATCCCTACCTCCACCTTCTGAGTGGATGGAATTACAGTCGTGAATCACCTTGTCTGGACTTTTGGTTTTTTTGAGACAGTCTGTTCTCAAACTCGTGATCCTCCTGCTTCAACTTCCTGAGTGCCGAGATTATAGGCATGTACCACCACATCTGAAAAAAGGTTAATTTTTACATTTGTTCAAAAATTGCTTAAGGTTCAACTTCAAAAGTTGAAGAACCTCTATGTTTATATTAATGTGGGGTGTTCTTTGTATGTGGTTAATTTTTGATACTTGCAGTTTTGTTTTAAAGATGGGCTTTTGATAAAAATCTCTGGAGGCCACAGGTTCCTTGTCTTTTCGTTTTCATGAATGGTGTCTACTCCATCTTTGCCATAAGCAACAGTCAAGTGAGTTCTGAGTCACAAAGGCAAGGGACATGTGGAATTGATTGTTTTTGCAGAGCTGTGACTTCCTCACTTTTCTTTAGTAGTGGGACCCTCCCTTCAGGCATAATATTGTTAAGCTGCCCGATGTAAAAGACAGATTAAAATGGAGAAACTCTGTGCAAAGCAGGGCTTGTAGCTTCATGAAAGCAGCTTGAAGGGATCTGCTGGACTGGAAGGCCTCATTGACTGTCTCTGCCAACAGTTGATGGGAAAAGAATCACAGTGACAACTGTGACAATCACGGGGTGTTCCAGGTGTCATCTTACATGCTTTGGAAACATCTCTATCAGGACCTTTCCTCACTTCACCCATGGTTATGTCTTCATCTCCATTATTTCCAGACTCAGTGGCTCCATTAGGCAGACTGCCCACTTAACCAACTTTATCCAGTGTTTTACCTGGGTAAACATTTACAGTGAAAATGTCTCTACTCAGTGAAATAAGGATGTTAAAAGAAAGAGCTGATTCATAATGACTCCAGAGATAAACAGGGGAAGAAGGTGGCTAGGGGACATAGATGCATCTTGACAGGGACATTTTGGGCATGAGTAACATGGGTAGAGCCAATTACATATAATTCTAATATTAGGGTTTGGCTTTTAGGTGAGTAGTAGTAGATATTAATGAGTAGGTTACACTTCAAAACCAGTTTAGGCACTTTGGGATGGAGTGCCTTCTCAGGGTATAGACACTGCTACAGTTTGGATAAGTGCCCGCCAAAGGTCTATGTGCTAAAGGCTCAATCACCAGTCTGTGGAACTACCAGGGGGTGCTGGAACTTTTAGGAGGTGGGTCCTGGTGGACCCAACTCATGGACCCCATGCCCTTGAAGGGGATAGTGGGGCCCTGGCCCCTTCTGTGCTTCCTAGCTGCAATGAAGTGAACATTTGCCTTTGCCGTACATTCCCACTATAATGTTATACCTCCCCACAGCCCCAAAGCAAAGGAGCCAACTGACCATGATCTGAAAGCTTTGAAATCATCAGCCCAAACCTTTCCTCATAAGTTTATTACCTCAGGTATTTTGTCCAGAAAGTTGATTAACACAGATACTGAATTGTGATTACTCACAATTCAGTATCTGCTTATAAGAACTGAAGCAACAAGGTGCATTTCTTCATAGGGATGGATGAGAACTCAGTATAGGGAGGAACCAGGGGGGGTCATGGAGTATCAGAACCTCTTCAGTGCTAATGAGCCTTTCAGGATTGATGCAGCACAGAGACCAACAGCCTTGTGGCTATGATATGCCTAGATAGTGACACCTATCAGAAGGGCAGCTTTGGTGTCTCAGGGAGCCCAGTCTGGCCCAAAACAGCAGGAACAGGTTTACTACCATCTCAGCTCAGGAGGATAGAGTAAGAAGTTTATGTCTCAATCAAATGCAGATGACGAGAGTTCTGGTCTTCCATATCTTTGTGTCACAAGGGGAAGTGTCCAAGGAAGCCATGACATTTTTCCAGGGGAAAGAGGAAGACACTACTTTGTTACTGCTTATAGGTCATTGGTAAAGTATCCTCTTGGGGGTGCACACTCAGGATTACTACTGGACAAGGCTGGGCTGAGGAGGACTGGACTGGGGGAGGCTCAGTACAGTTTATCCTTCAAGAACACACACCTGGGTCTACACGAGGAGTGCGGCAGGTATATGAAGTTAAGAAAAGTGTGGAAAGAAAAGGCACATATGGTATTATTGCTCTGCCAGTCTCTAAATGTAGGAAAAGTCAAGAGTAGACTTACAAGTTGCAGAGTGAAGAGTTCATTGATTTAACTAACTGTCAAATCTTTTTTTTTTATTATTATTATTCATATGTGCATACAAGGCTTGGGTCATTTCTCCCCCCTGCCCCCACCCCCTCCCTTACCACCCACTCCACCCCCTCCCTCTCCCCCCCTCAATACCCAGCAGAAACTATTTTGCCCTTATTTCTAATTTTGTTGAAGAGAGAGTATAAGCCATAATAGGAAGGAACAAGGGTTTTTGCTGGTTGAGATAAGGATAGCTATATAACTGTCAAATCTTGAAGTGGAAACCATATAGATGGATTTAGGGCTTCATGACATCAGCTTTATAGTAACAAACTGGTCAGTGATTACTGTGGAAAAGGCAGTGAGATTGAGTGGGTAGGCATGGCACACGACCACAGCAAACCTCATGGTCTTAGATCTCTACTCTTTTTTCTTCTGTTCAGATTCCTGGCTGGGAGTCAGAGAAATTTCATAGTTAATGAGATACTTGGGAAGAACTAACAGAAGCCCTCACCCATAGGTTATTCCATAAGAAATGTGTGTTTTGGGATTGACAGTTTTCATGATTTCAGTGCAGCCCAGTCTATAGAACACCTACTTCTGTAGGTCAGGCTCCCTATGAAACAGACTCTGAGACTAAGGTTTGTGGGAGAACATTTACTAGTGGACCAGGGGAAGCAGGATTAGGCAGAGAGAGAGAGAGAGAACTTGAATGGTAAAGCAGTCACAGCAAGGACCTAAGTCAACCTACATGGATCTCTGGAGCTGTGTTATCCTGAATTGAGGCCAGAAGGACAGTCCATGAATTAGTCTGTTGATACATGATGTCAAGGAAAAAGGAGTCACCTTCCCATGGAGGACTTGGTTGAGAGCTGTCAGTCATCCCTTTTAGCAGTTGGATGAATTTATCCTTCAGTCCTAAAGGCATGGGAAGCAGGCGGTATACCTCATATGTAGGCAACATACAACAGTGTCTACTGTACCTATCATTCTCTGGTGTTGTGGTAGTTTCTGGGGATTCAAAGATGAAAAAGGCTTCCACAAGAGGGAAAGCGGTGGTATTATTACCTGCTCTCCACTTACATTTTCAATGTTCTTCTGTAGGCAAATAGGAAAATAATTTCCCTTTTTTGGATATTTGGAATTTGCTCAGCAGTGTAGACATGGCAGAAAAAGACAGCCACATGAATTTCTGGGTAGTTATTATGATCCTGCATAGAAGGGGGAGAGAAACAGTTTCTTCTTTCCTATTCCTGAATTTCACACAATATATATCTTCATGCATCAGTATACTGGTGCCTCTAATCACCGTTCATATGTTCACACATGAATGATAAACACTTGGAGCTTTCTATCAATTATTTTGTGCCCACCAGACTAACGATACTGTCCACAGATGGCGTGGGATTCACCATATGACAGAGTTCTTGAAATCAATGTCGATGTAAAATGCAATATTAAGTGATAGCAAAGATGTGCTAACTTGAAGCCTACAGATATAGTATTAAAACCAAACAATATTACATAAATTATTTAAAACTTAAGCAACATATTTTTTCAAGTTGGAGAATTTTATCACTTGAACAATTTAAGGTCACTGATAAATGGTGATGGCAAAATGGAGAGCTTCTTTTAGTAAATTTTATTATTGGTTTAAAATTTTCTACATAAATGTACCTCTTTGAAGGTACTGAGTAGGAGAATCCAGTCTTTCTATTTGGGATGATTCAGTATAAATCTGACCAAAGTTCTTTACCACCTCCTGCTCCTCTTTCCTCTGAGACACTTTTTCCTTAGCTAGGATGACTAGGTAAATGAGATTTCTTCATCTTTCTAACACCTGGACAAAGATTTTTGAGCCCAAAGTCAAACATTTGCTTGTGCACTTGGACAGTTTCCCCTCCCATGACATGTGGATTTCTGTTTAGGTTTAATGATTCACTTCTGGCTACCTGACCTGGGCAGAAA